TAAAGCTAGGAGCAGTAAAAATAAATTACTTATTTGGCAAAAGAAGTAATATGGAATATTTAATATAAGCTCTGTGTTCAAGAATTCACTGTCAGCGCTGAAAATTTATAGTACACGTAACATATACCATAGATTTTTAGCGCTAGCAGTGAAAAAAACAAAAAACAATTTTTTGTAACTTTGTGTACCAAACTCTTATATTAATAAAGAATTTGCTTATTTTACTAACAAATATGTAAACATTTTTTTTAAAGAAAACTACATATATATTGAATAAGATTTTTATTATTTGCAGGTAAATTTGTGATTACAGATAACATGTTAAATTATAAAAATTTTAAGTTTTTTTCTAAAAATATAATTATTTTTGTTTAAAATTTTAAATAATTTTATTTTAATTTTATAATAAAATTTTTTTAATTTTGTAATTATATAAATTATATAATTATTATAATTTTATAAATTTTATTATTTTATTTTAAACTTTAAATAACATTTTATATAATAATAATAGTTATTTGACACACTATAATTAGTTATTATAAGATATAATTTATTTACCTCTCCTTTACATATCCATTTATTTTATTATAATTTGTAAAAGTTAAAAAGATTCACTAATGACAGGGGTTCCTAATACTATTGATACGGTACTAGCAGCCCAAGAACATGGCGGACCCTGAAAAGCCAGCTGAAAAAGATCAAAGGTGCCGACATGCTTTGTCCCTACTGTATATCCTTATACTGTGGCTAAGCTATGCATTTTGTGTGCAATGGCCTTAAGGTCATTGCACGTAACGAAGTTTTAGTCATAATCGTAAGACTGTAAGAAAATAGACCAATCACAGTCGATTATTCTCCTCGCGCTTGAAGAATAGTCAAGTGTGATTGGTCTATTTTCTTACGGCCTTACGATTATGACTAAAACTTTGTTACGTGCAATGGCCTTTAAGGGCCATCTACAATGAGTCGCAGTCGCAAGAGTCGTAAGAAATTGACCAATCACAGTTCATTATTCTTCGACCGCAAGGAGAATAATAGACTGTGATTGGTCAATTTCTTACGACTCTTACGACTGCGACTCATTGTAGATGGCCCTTTAAGCTGAATAATAAAATGGCAAATAAGTTTTTGGAGTGCGTTGGAGTGATTAGGAGCATGGTGGGGCATGAGTGGGTCGTATCGTCCTATGCACGAACTTATGCCTTAACTGGCTTTAACCTAAAGATTACAATAATTCTATTGGCTCCCGCCATTTTATTACAGCCAATACACGTGAGTTTACTCAGTTGCCAGACTCTTAAGGCCGTGGCACATAGAAAAACCTAAGCAGTAAGGCTGGTTTCACATGAAGCGTAAGATGCGTATGCGTAACTTGCGTCAGCCAATCAAATCGTCTCAGTATTTAATCACACGCGTATAGTAGCTGAGACGATTTGATTGGCTGACGCAAGTTACGCATACACATCTTACGCCCCATGTGAAACCAGCCTAAAACTCAAGCAGTAAGCAAATCAGCCAATCACAGTCAAGAACTTAAGACACGGCCCTAAGGGTTGGTTTATAATAGCTGTAACCGTTGATTTAAGCCGTAATTTTTAAGAAATTGACCAGTCACAGTCGATTATTCTTCTCACATTCGACTGTGATTGGTCAATTTCTTGAAGATTACGGCTTAAATCAACGGTTACGGCTATTATAAACCAACCCTAAGCGGTAGCGAATCCATACTGTTGACTTCTTAAAACGAAGCTTTGTCATACGTTCCGATGGGCTATTAAGGTTATGTTGTGACCGGACGGCACGAGTTGAGCCCGATTCCGGCGGATAATATTCCTATCGAACGGTCGCCACTCGGTTTAACCTTAGACTACCGAGAAGGTAAGTTCGCATCAACGCCACGATTATTCGCAAGATGCTAATAGGATTTCTTTGTTTCAGAAGAACGTCCCTGATGGATCACCGTTGCTGCTTCTCATCCCTGGATCCTCGCTTTACATCGCATACCAGATAGAAGTAAGTAAGGATAAAATAATTATATCCTAATTATTTGAATTTTATTTCAGACTGATGTCGCTGTTGGATCACCGTTGCTGCTTCTCATCCCTGGATTCTCGCTTTACATCGCATACCAGATAGAGGTAAATAATTATATAATAATTATTTTAAGTTTTGTTGCAGATCGACGCCCGGAATAGATCGCCGTTGCTGTTACCCGTCTCTGGATCCTCGCTTTACATCGCATACCAGATAAGGGTAAGTCCCGATAATTATGTTTAATTATATACTAAATCGCTTCTTTTCTTTCAGGTTCCTGCCTCGGATGGATCGCTGCTGTTGCTGCTCTGCTTCCCCGGATCCTCGCTTTACATCGCATACCGGATTGCCGCTGGCCAACGTTGGATCATCGCCAAAGGACAAGGTAAGTAGAAGGTAAGTATTGATAATTTTTTATAATTAATCAGGAGAATTTGTTTCAGAATTAATTATTCTTTAACTCCAGATCATCATTTCAACATTACAGGCCGTTTCACAATATCATAAAGGTGTCTCACAACGCGAGTTTCTTGCCTCGGTGTGGATGCCGCTTTATTTATTAAAGTTGCACAATTGTTCAAAGTGCGTATCTCGGCTTATTTGTTTAGTCGTTACGATGCTTTTATTCCAGATAATTATTCCGATCGGAGGACTCTGTGCCCCGTGATTGTTATACTATGATCACGCACTCGGCCGTGATCATCACTCTATCATACAATGTTCGTGCGCAGAATTAACGAACGAGTATTCGGTGGTTAAATACAATGATTAATAATGTCCGCACAATATTCCGTATCCGCGTGACCCAATGCCCGCGGTTGTTATATACTCGATATGCACTTCCGTTAATTAACAATGTATCCGAATTTCAACTCGCGTATTGTTGCTAACACTCGATTGTATTTGGCAACTAAGTGCCCCTCGCTATTGTTAAGACGAGTAATTTTACGCGATAGTACGCGGGAGTTCTCGGTTGTAAAGTATAACGCGTATACCGATCGTACAGAGTGTGATACGTGTGTTCGCCACGGCTATACCCGAGAGACTGCCTCGAGCGGTCGCTCTCGCTTGGGCTCCCCACTTATGCTGGATCGCTCCCACTCCTCGAACTTTCACTTCTGCCCATTGTTCGCGGCCGGCACATCTAGCACGATCATGCGAAAACAAGATGATTTTCACTAACCTCTCGCGTGCCCTTTTGCGCATCTTCAATTTACGCCCATTCTAGAAGGTTCCCGTGGAAATTTCCACGTGCAACGCAGTGCGAGAACCTTCCTTCCTTGGCACCGCTGCACCAGGTTAGGTTTCCGCTCCCGGAAATTTCTCGACGCGGACGACGCCGACCCTTGCGCACCTCCTCGGAGATGCCCCTGATGGTGAATCCGGGTGTTTTTCCTGTGGATCACGTCCGGGTGACGTCTTTGTCGTCGGCCGTTGACGCCGACCTCCTGGCTCGGTTTCTCGGTAACTGTTATTACCTCTCCGAGCCTCTGCTCCTGGAGATGGCGCGTTTTCCGGGGATCTCGTCGGAACACGACGTCGACCCCCTAGGCGGGTGTCCCAGAACCTTTTGTGACGGATTCCGTCCTTTGTTCCCGGGGATGATGCGTTTCCCGGGGAACCCGTCCGACCTTGACGCCGACCTCCTGGGAGGGTGTCCCAGGTCCTGGAGAGACGATTGTATAGCTTATTTTCTGACGAAAATGCGTTTTCCGGGGATTTTGCTGGACATTGGCGCCGACCCCCTGGGGAGGTTCCTCCGGTCCTTGCGAGTCCGTCGGACCCCTTTCTCCCCGGAGAAGATGCGTTTCCCGGGGATTTCACCGGGTCATGACGCGAACCCCCTGGGGCGTTGTCCCAGGTTCTTGTGAGACGTCCGACCTTTTTGTTCCTGGAGAAGATGGTTTTCCCGGGAACCTTGTCTTTTCTCGGCGCCCATCTCATGGACGCGCGTACCGGGTCCGGGGGATGTTCCTCCGTGCCCCCAATACGGGTTACTACCGTAACTCTATGTCAGCGCCTCGGAATAGACGCGTTTATCTTTGTACGATAACTATCGGTAAACTATATCGACAACCGCTAAATGATATCAAATTGTTTCGGATCACCCTGTATAGGATCATCCGGAACAATTTCCTGTCCTTCGTAAAACATATTCTTGATCATAGTCATGATTTTGCTTCGCCGAAGGCCTGCTTATATTAGATCCCAACTAAAATTTACTTGCGAGTTAGTCTTACTATTATGCGCCGCCTAGCGACGTTGTTGCATATTTCTCTGAAATGCTTCGTAATATTTCAGTGAAAAGGGTTATAAATGATTTCGATGAAACGTTTCAGAAATACTTCTGAATAATTTCAATGTTACGTTTCAATATTATTGTCCGAGTTATCTTTCGGAAAGCTTTCAATGATATGTATTTTAGACATTACGTACGAAATATTTTTTTAAAATGTTTCGTAATATTTCAGAAATATTTCAGTGAAAAGGGTCATAAATGATTTCGATGAAACGTTTCAGAAATACTTCTGAATGATTTTAATGTTACATTTTAATATTAATTGCCAAGTTATCTTTTGGAAAGCTTTCAGTGATATATGATTTTCATAAAACGTTTCAGAAATATTTCTGAATGATTTCAATTATACATTTCAATATTAATTTCCAAGTTATCTTTCGGAAAGCTTTCTGAAACAAGTTTTGCTGTGTGGGCTTGTACGTATGGGGTACTCACGTTCGGGTCGGTCGAAGGGGATAAGCACGAAAATTTCATTGTGCATATTTCGAGAACACATTAATCGAGAAACATTTTAAGACAAGAATTATTACGCTTTCTGTATTTTAACTGATACTTTACTCTTATATCAGTAGTATATAAATCTTTTTTGGCGTATATTTTTTAAACTATTATAGATAGACTAATTTTATTTGAGGTATTTGAAAGCACATAAAAAACACATAATTCTAGCATATTGAGTTTTTTATTTTATATGTAATTTTAATGAGTGGGGGTGCTAGCTTACGTTAAGCCAGCACCCCCAGTTTCAATTGCAATTTCCCACAAAACCGCTCGAGCACAAAAATCATGAATAGAGCACATAATTAACGCATAAAGAGCACTTAATTTCTGCATGTGTGTTATTCCGGTTTTTTATGGGGGTGCTGATTTAACAGACATAAATACATTATGTTACTTTTTTACCTTTTAAGATTTTTTTCTTTGTTTACGGATGTTTGCAAATCTAAGCCATTCCATTATAGAGTGTTCCAAGTCTTTCTCTGTATTACAAGGGATTGTTGTCTAATAGCCTCTAAAACAAGAAGAATTCAATATAGTTTAGATAACAAAAAGGTTGTAATATATTAATATATTACATTTATGTATATTTAATATATACATAATTTTAATTATAATAAGCAGCTTTACTTACGACTTGTGTAAAAGCTTTCTGGTCATCTTTTAGCATTTCTAGTATCTTGTACAGAGTTTTCCTTATAATATATTGTTCACTGATGTTTATCTTAGCCAGGTTCAAATTTTTCAAATGGTAATTTTTTGAATTTGATACTATACAATTGATCCCATATGTTAAGACATATTCATATTGCCCTGTACATATAAAATATGCTTACAATAATATATTTATATACTTTAGAGTGTGATAGCACATATATGTGAAAAAAATATAGAAATAAATAAAAAGTCAGTCTTAGTCTTGTTTGTACTGATCGTTTGTTACATATCTATCAACTTTATACTAATTTTATACTAAATTACTGTTACAGTGATACATGCAAACAATGATGTATTAAAGCCGTACAATACTTCAACAAATCGTCTTCATGCATAGTGTGCCAGCTTATACGTTATCATTTACATATTTCGCCAAATTTTGAGGTTATTTTATAGAAAGTTACACTGTTTGGTACCATTGAAATAATAGCATTGACAAACCTTGATGATATTTTTAATGTCCAAGGACAAATCTATTATAGAACGTAAAAAAATTAATTAATATTTCCTCTCTTTTGTAAATCTCTCTTGTGTGTAAATCGGAAAATGAATCCTACATCACCATCAGCTACTATTCATAGCACAAATAATTATAGCACGTATGGTTAATTGAATTCTTATCATTAATATACAACTTTTAGAATCTAATAGTTATGACCAACATATTCATCTCCGTAGAAAATTTGATTTCTACTATTTTGAACATTGTCATCAGATAATGGCATAATAATGGGTCAACCTTACAAATTAATTAGATTATTTTTTAGACATGATTGTTAATGAACTTATTATATATTAAAATTATTTTTTAATGCTTGTAACAAATTAACATCATGGAGGTATAACAATTAAATATGAAAGTTAATAGACCGAAAAAATAAAAGAATTAGTATTTAGTTGCTATTATCATTTAACTGTCTAGAATATCGTAAATATTCTATAATAAAACTATTCCAAAATACTGTAGTTTGTGGAGGGGAAGGATATTTTTAAAAAGCATAAAACACTCGGACGGATATGTGTATCCTAAATACGTTATAGTTACT